TACTGCCAATTCCATTGGCGCACGCGCGAGTAACTCCGAGGCAACCTAATTCGAGTAGGATTACAGAAAGGCATCAAAATTCAGGAAAATAAAATCCAAACGCCTTTGTCAAATCTTGAGAAAGGATTTCCCTTGCTAGCTAGGGTTCCAAAAAATATCCACCACAGAGCGAGGGAGGAGTCTTTTCTTTTCCAAAGATGCCGAAGAACAAGGGAAAGGGAGGAAAGAATCGGAAGAGGGGAAAGAACGAAGCCGACGACGAGAAGCGGGAGCTTATTTTCAAGGAGGACGGACAGGAGTACGCCCAGGTGCTCCGCATGTTAGGTAACGGCCGATGCGAGGCCCTCTGCATCGACGGAAGCAAGCGCCTCTGCCATATCCGTGGGAAGATGCATAAGAAGGTCTGGATCGCTGCCGGTGATATCATTCTTGTCGGGCTCAGGGATTACCAGGATGATAAGGCTGATGTTATTTTGAAGTATATGCCTGATGAGGCCAGGCTGTTGAAGGCCTACGGTGAGTTACCGGAGAACACGAGGTTGAACGAGGGGATTGCTGGTGGGATTGATGAGGAGGATGAAGGCGGCGCCGATGATTACATCGAGTTTGAGGATGAGGATATCGATAAGATCTAATTTTTTTTTTTTAATGTTATCGCTATTTGCTTTTAATTATGTGGTGATGAATGTTAAGTATTGCCTTTAGATTTTCTTCTGTACTATGAATGTTTAATTATGCAATAATAGCTGAATTGCAAACTCATGTATCTTTTGTATGTTGTATGATTCTTGTTTTCTTTCATGCTTTCTCTTTTTACATGTCACTGAGGAATTGTATGTGATTTTTTGTGGATTTGAGTGATTGATTTATTCCTGGATAGCAGCTGCCAAGCAACCTCTGAGTTATATGCATTGTTGATGATGATGCACTTTGTTGGATAAGGACTTAAGTCTCTATGTCTAAGGTTGAGGATATTGGTAAATCAATTTTGGGTTAGATTCTCTATAAATCATTGAATGGGTTCTTGATTTCTTGCTGAACTTTGGTGATTGTTTGAGCTTCACCTGTCACTTGCATAGAGTCACTGGCATAACATAATTGGCTTTATTGGTTTAGGCTGTTGAGAGTTGAGGGCAGTTATATTATTAGTTGTTGCAATGTTCTTTTCTTTTGTGTTGCCTAGCTCGGACGTGCTCTGATCTTTTTCAAGCAGTAGCTCTCTAAGTGACTTGGTTTGATATGGAAATGATATAGCTCGATCCTTGATCTTCTTTATCATTGAATGGGTTCATGATTTCTTGCTGTATTTTGGGGATTGTTTGAGCTTCACTTGTCACTTGCATAGAGTCACTGGCATAGCATAATTGGCTTTATGGGTTTAGGCTGTTGAGAGTTTAGGGCAGTCAATTATCAGTTGTTGCAATGTTCTTTTCTTATGTGTTGCTTGGTTCAGGCGTCCTCTGATCTTCTTTTGAGCAGTACCTATCTAAGTGACTTGGTTAGATATTTATATGGATAAGCTCAATCCTTGATCTTCTTTCAATTAGATATCCTATTATTGTGTAATGATTTAATATTTTGGATTCTATTGAATGTTTTCTTAGTGACTTTTTATGGGTTATACTATTAATTTATTAAATAGAACAAGTGAGAAGTAGAGATGTGTATATTCATGATAAAACTGCTGAGCTTGACGTTTGCTGTTCCTCTCAAAAAGTGGAGTCTGTGTCATCTGTGTTTAGTTCCTTCGTGCAGCATGTATGGTCAAAACAGCAGTGTAAGTCTTGTGGCTGCTTTGCCTATATACGTTTCTTTCTTGTTCTTGGAAAAGTGAAGTTGGTCCACTCTATCTATTCTTATCTTATCATACATTGTGAGTATTCCAATCCTATGTACCAAATTGTTGCAGAATATTGTGATGTTTGTAAAGCATTCATATCAACCAAGAACATTACTTAAGATATTTGAGAACTTATTCCTCCGCTGACCTTTGATCTAATTCCAATTTGGATTCTCCAAAATTTAGTGGGGTGCGTTTCCTTTTCATCAACATCTTTTGTTATTGCCATAGGAAAGGAGAGAAAATCAGGGGGAAAAAAAGTGTATATATCCCTTTCATCAAAACGTTGTTGTATTTAGTTATTACAATTTTGAATCAGAAGTTCTCTTTCATCATCAAACCCTAATCCTAAATGAATTGCTTTCATCAACCTGCCGTATTATTGAAGGGGCAATCAGATTCAGGGTACATTAAACAGGTGGAAACAAATACTTCTCTATCATGGGAATTGCACTTGGTTATAAGCCATAGACATAAAATTGGACAATTTTTTGTTTCACAAACAGGGAAAACATGAAATTGTAGGAGCTGTCCTACATTACAGGATATGGACTCTCTTTTACATTAGTACAGAGGACCGAAAGAGAATGATCACAATAATTGAAAATGCTTAGCTTCTAGATTTTACTCGGTTCCAGCAATCTTCTTCTTCAGCGCCTCAATATCCGTAGCTAGTTCTTTCCTGCTTGACTGAAGAAATAGATAGTGTTAGCCTCCAAATAATCAAGTCCAAAGTGCACCATGACTTCCCACAGAGTAACGCAGCAGGAAGATTCATCATCAGAGAATATACTAAAAGCTACCACAAAGAAAGGAGCATATATTCGAAAAAATGAACACGTAACCATGATGGTTCTCAGTTAAGCTTACCTTGAATAGTAGGTATCTGTAGACAAACCATCCTGTGTATCCAAGCCCAATCAACTCCATTATCTTCGGAAGCTGGTAAAGAGATATGATTATTTGAAAGATTTCATGGGAAAGAATAACTTTGATATTGACATATTGTGTCGTGTTAATTGAACAAATTTCACCTACCAGAGGGACTGAGTTAATGGCACTAACAACAATGGATGCCAGCCATACAGCAACTATTGCACCACCTCCATAGAGTACTACTGTGGACTTGTTTTCAACAGCATCCCACTAGCAGTTACCACATGCAAACCAATTTGATGCAATTAACGTATTTTCAAATAAGTAACTAGCAAATGAGATATCAAGAAAGTGGGTGCCAGAAGACTAGATTACTAGACAAGGTAATGGTTTAAGTCTTTGGTGAAAAGCGGTGAAAAGCTCTCACCTTTTCCTTCAAGTCAGTGAAAAGCTCCCCAGCATCAACAGGGGTAGATGTGTCATCTGAGGCTCTTGTCTGGAACAGGGAAAACCTCCGGGGTTCTGTTTTTAAAGTAGAAAAATTAAACTGGGGTACAATGAGAAGCTGAAATCCATAGGCCTAGGTGTGATATACATTGAAGCAATTCTTACAAAATCACTTCAAATATATGAATGTTAAATTCGATTACAAACTGGAAGCCAAAAAAAAGCAGCAATTGCTCAGGTTTGTTAACTGTGATGCAAGAACAGGAAACAAACATAATTTTTAACTGTTGAGTTGCAAAAATGTTTCTTTTGAGGTCCTGAAAGCCCTACAAACCATGTCTAGATATACTCCATCCATATGCTTTAAATTTGCAGTGAATCACTAAAAATATGCATGTATGACGCCAAGCCACCCAACATTTTCCCCATGCTAGCTTACTGACACTCAAATTTTGAGCATATGTCCCCTTCTAAATCACCAGCAATCCAAGCCCCAAAATTTAATTGAAATGACCCCTTTAACAGCTGCAGTTACACACAATTCGAGTCCATCCAATCCAAGGATTCCTTTCAAAAACAGGAAACATAACATTCTAATTTCTAAATATCATGTTTCACATCCCAAAATGATGAAAATCCTAATTTTCCAAAGCTTTAGGGATTCAGATTCATAACATACCAAACATGTTAACAAAATAAACTGTCAAGCAACATTTTCCTTCATTCAAGAAGAAGAACGCATGAACATCTCGAGATTTGAGAATATGCAGATCGTATCTTTGGAAGAATGTTACCATACCTGGAACTAGCTTGATGGAAGTGGAAAAGGAGGAAGCGGAGCTGCGAGGAGGGAGGCACGGCAAGGCAGAGCACCGGGTGATTCTGTTGGGTGCCGACACACGTGGAACCAACACGGCGGTCGCCGCCATGGAGGATGATGCTGCCGCTGCATACGCCGTCGCCGCCATTTCGAATTTTGATGAGTTCTCGGTGCAGTAGTTGTGGCCGCGCAACCGCAAGAGTTCTATCCTTAAATTTTGCTGCCTTGCAATTCGTTGATTTCGTGATTTCATTCATTTTTTATTTTTTATTTTAATTTGAGTTACATCTTTATTTGGTGGTGACACGTGGACGAAACGAGCATTCTGATTGGCCGATTCTCTATCTGCAATCCGCCCCCTTCACACACTGTTTGAATTGAAAGAGACATTACGAAATTGTCATTTTTTTCTCCCTTTTTTTTTTCCCTTTATTTTTACGAATGTAATTGTATAATGCAAAATTCAGTTAAAAATTGAGCTTCTTCTTTTTCCTTCTTTTTTTTTTTTTAATCATAGGTTGCATACTATGACGTTTTTTTTTCCTAATAAAAAAGTTCAAGCTTAGTTAAAACTTGAAATTAATTACTAATTATTTAAATAATTTAATTATAATTGTTGGCCTAGATGGCAACCCAAGGGAGAGGATGAATTGGGTTTCAAAAACCTTATACAATTTTTAAATAAAGCAATGATTAAGTACAAGTAATCAATAAGTTATTGTAAACTAAATTGCAAAAATTAAAAGAGTGGGGTAAGAAATATCAAACGCTTCGATTTATCTTGGTTTGTCACCTTCTTTGGTGCCTACATCCAATTCTCAAGTTTCCTATGCTCGAGATTTAATTTACTAACGCTAATTTCAACGAGTACTAGTGAAATCGATTACAATAGCTTGTTAGTACTATCAATCGTTTGAATCTTTTGTTACAAATCTCTTAACTCGTCCTATACCTTAAGGATGGATTTCTATATCTAATAAGGTTTCCTTAATTCTTCTTTCACTTGTTACAATGGAAAAGAATAAAAAAAGCAAGAGAATTCTCAAAATACAAGGTAAAAGCTTAACACTCTTGCTTTTTAACTTCAAGTCTCTGTTCTTCTTCTTCTCTACTCTTCCAGATCTGATTTTGTATTCCTTGAGAGTGCTAAATCAAATACTTTTTACTGTTGGAGAATATTTTTCATAAATACTTCAAAAACCATAATTATACGGTAGAATGCACTTTCCTTGTTTTGGTTCCCCACAACAAGGAAACATAATCATACAATTAAATCGACTTCCTCTAAAAAGGAAACAAATTCAAATTAAATATTTGACAATAAAACACATATTCACAATTAACTTTCAATCCAAACCAATTACATATCCTAATTTACTAGCAAATAAAATAAACATTCCAATTCACATTTAATTTTTAAATCATCAAAATCAAGAATAACAATAATTTTCATCTAATAAAAATAAAATGTTATAAATTTAAATTGTATAATATATGGTGGGATAATGTATAGTGTATAGTGCAAGAATTGAAGTATCTAGTGGTGCTCTTATTAATAATTTTTTATATTTGAAAATTTTAAGTATTTATAATTATTTAATGTTTATAATTATTTAAAGAAAAAATCCTTTAAATTATATTATTTTAATAAATTATTATGAAAAAACTAACAATAACATATTTTTATAGTAAAAATAAAATTATTTTAAATTTTTTATATTATTTTATTAAAATAACATAATTTTATTATATTTTTTTAAAATTTTTTAAAATTTTAACAATTAAACACTAATTTCATTACTAAACAGTATTTTAGTTGTCAAGAAAATTTTAAATTAATAAATTTGACAAAAATTTCAATGGATCAGTAGTAAATGTTTATCCATGTCTTCTCTGGTTCAGTCCACTAAGTTAGACACCCCAAAAAAAAAAAAAAAAAAAAAAAGAAGAAAAATCAGTGCCTAATGTGCCGATCTATGTTTTTTTTTTTATTTTTTTTAATATAGGTAATTATTAATAATTAGGTTAAAAATTATTAATAATTATGGATTCAATTTCTAAAACGGATGATCTTCCACCCTTCATTAAGGCGCGAGGCGCACAGCCCATCGGGCACACGGTGGAGTTCGATCTATGTTGAGTTGGGCTAGATGATGATTAATTTGTGCACTTTAGACCCTGAAACTGCAGGCTTTCAGCAGCAAATCCATCTGGCATCAACCCAACACCATTCACAAGTGCAAGTGCAATGTGGTACACTGGTAGGAGCCGGCCATCAATGGCTTTTTAATTTTCGAGAAAAAATAAATAAATAAATAAATATGATTATAATGTCTCTCTCTTTTTTTCTTTTATTTTAATAAGTAATTATATTACAATTACATATTAAGAAATGGGAGATTAATGTTAGTAATGGGGTTTGAAGTTAGGATTGAGGTGCTACACCACCTAATCCTTATCATTAAATCACCAATATGGTTGGTATTATAATGCTTTCCAAAGATGTCTCTTATGTAGTAAACGAAAATAAAACGTTAACATATGTACAAAATAATTTCATCTCTTTTAATCTCTTTTATTGTAGTAATAATTACTCTTCCAAAACAATTTTTTTTTTTTTATTTACTTCATTTCTAAATGCCAAATATTCCTATTCCCATCTTATTTTTTAAGACAGTCAACTTACTTTTCTTAGATGAAAATTAAAAATAAAAATAATTCCTGAAAGAAATAAGTTTTTTTTTT